TGTGAGAGATAATTGCTATGTCTCATTCAGCAACTTCCCATCAACATCATAGAGGTTTTGTACTTTTAATGCTTGGGACTAGGATGTGTAAAGTGAGAACTTTGGTTGTTTCCTTGGTTTTGTTTTGACATCAATGTGATGACATCTTGTAACATTGCTGTCTGTGAGAAGTATTTCCTCTTGTATTGGCAGCAGCTGATGGTATGTCACTTGTGTTTGAGGACATGCTTGCTTTGTGAACATCACTGAAGTGGATGTAAAATCACTGCTCACATGGTAGGACCATATACCTGGTCTGTGCAAGAAAATATAAGCATTCTCTCTCCCTGCTCACCTGGACCAGCTTACTCTTATTGTAAATATCATCCTATCTAGCGTGTCACTTACAGACTAGTTCAACCAGCATTATCAAACATCATAACAAGAAACATTCCTGCACAGCTTGTTATAAAATAAGAAATTTCAAATGATTCTAATCTTTGCTTGTAAGAGACATCTAAAGGGGATCGGTTGGTCAGGCATGGTGGGTGATTACAGGTCCTCTTGCCCCAATAGTATGAACCTTGGCTCATGCGTTCAGTCAGTGGTTTGTGTAAGTAGCTTGGATATTGCCAATTGTACAGTTGAACAACATTAACTCACTCACTCCTAAAATGGATGGTGCAACTAATGTGGTATCTTAAACAGTCCACACATTGCTTTATTCTTTCACATCATAATCAAAGGAAATCTCTGCAAAAAGCAGAGTCCTCTTTATGATTCTGACTATGTCATAAGTATGTGTTTATAAATCACTATCAAATAGTGATGACAGAGGTGTTCATGAAAAGAAGAGTGTATCCTGCTCCACCGGTAAGTTGCTTGTCTCACACAGTCATGACTTGTCTCACACAGTCATGATAGATGTCCTTTAATTCACGAGAAGAGAGCTGTAATAAACTTCCGAAGTTAGCTGTCCTTGATTAGACCAAGTCGTTCAGCACCTACATTTTCATCAGAGTTATCTTGAGTGTAGATGTCAAAATGGGACAATATGGAATATAATACATCAGAATCAAGAAGATGACCATAGTCCTGCCTTTATATTTCATAGAAATAGAAGATAAACTGTATATATCCAATGGATCTGATTACACGTATCTCAAATTGTAGACAGTTCATGTGTAAATGGAGGCTTGGTTGGTTCAATCGTCCAAGGCCATGCAGAGTTGCATTTCCTTTGGTGTGCCAGGATTGCATGATTATGGGTTTGAATCACACATATGCGATAATTATGGTCCTTGGTTTGTCAGCACCATACTTTCTTAAAGACATTGTGCATTCATACCTTTTGGCTATTGGAGCCGTGCCAGTTTAGACTTGTCAGAGGGGTACACAAAGTATGTGATCAAGACTACTGGTTGTCAGACTTCCATAATTGTTGAAGCCTAGATGGCTGAGTGGGCTGCCCAAACATTTGATTTGAAACCTCTAGCCAATGCAAATAAAATTTCTGTACATCTCATGCTTCATAGATAATTGAACTTGAATAGTTAGCAGAATGTGGATTAAAAAAACTGATTCGAATGTATTCCAACAAATATTAATCAAACTTCATATTTAGTGAACATGACAGCCTAGATGAAAATGGAGTGTTAACTGGCTGATTGTGTGTGTATGATATATATCTCTAGTGCTCATTGTGTCATAACAGCCTAGATGAAGATGGAATGTTAACTGGCTGATTGTGTGTGTATGATATATATCTCTAGTGCTCATTGTGTCTTGACAGCTAACAAGATGAGGCTGATTGTGTGTGTACATTGTATATCTCTAGTGTTAATGCTTGTCATGATAGTTAACAAGAAGAGGCTGATTGTGTGTGTACGTTGTATATCTCTAGTGTTAATGCTTGTCATGATAGTTAACAAGAAGAGGCTGACTGTGTGTGTACGTTGTATATCTCTAGTGTTAATGCTTGTCATGATAGTTAACAAGAAGAGGCTGACTGTGTGTCTGATAGTGTGGATTGTTACTCATACTGTCATCCACTGGTTTGCCCATCACAGCCCAGTTACTCTCAGGCCACCTTGACAGAGTTGTGCTGACTGCAGTGAAGACAACACTCACTCTCTCATGTTGCCATTTCAGTCTGAATACTTCCTCATTCTTGTAGAAGGACCGACTAAAATGTAGATCAGGTGTTATAATGTGTGGCTGGAAGATTGTGTGTCATTGTACTGGATCATTGCTCATGCTGTCATTCGCTGTTATTTCTGGTCCCTTCTCAATTATTCAGTCTGCCATGGTACAACTAAACCATTACTGCCTATAGCAGAAACAACATTTACCCACTCATTACGTGTACATTTGGTAAATATTATGGTAAAACTCATGGATATTCTTATTACAATCATATTTCAATTTATTTAATGCTCTTATAGTGTTTAATCTATGTGACATACACTTTTGCATTACAGAAATTGTGATCTTAAAATATGTTCAAAAGTATATGCTATGCAATAGGAGAGTTTCTTCATTGAAGCTATGCACATATAGCCAGACACATAATACATGGAGGAAACGTGGTCATAGCAGATTCTGTACATTTCCCTACACAGCAATTCCACATCATTTCAGTGTTGGAAAGAAAGTATTCGAATGTATCTGAAGTTGCTGTATAATATATATGCCTCACGGGAGTCGAGTCTCAGTCTGTTGTATCCCGAGCTGCAACACAAGAAATCCCACATGTTCAGCGAACCACAGCAATGACTGAAGGACAATCACGTCATGAGAAGCAACATCATGGCTACCGTATTCGGCATAATAAGTGCCCAGGGCGCTCTCAAATTAGAAATAGGGGGCTCTTATTAGAATATTATTTGTGTGAAAAAGACAGAGTTGAAAGATAAATTTTGTGGTTTATGCTGACAGCCTAAAATGTTTATATACGACATATACATTTTTCCTAATTTAATTGCCCGTAATTAAGGGTGGATATAACACACGAGTGCGTATTATATGCGAATAAATAAGTCTTATGTACATTGATCAATCGGAAGGGGTGCTAATTGGGATTGTTCACTTGCCAATATATTAGCAAATATCGCCGTGGGCTTTTCTCTTCTCAACATTGAATCTGATAGATAGACAGACAGACAGACAGATAGATAAAACACGAAAGTCCAAAGATGAGCTTTATAATTTACTCAACTGGTTTCACAAATATATATATTGTTTCAATTAAATTCTTAAAATCAAATTGATGACATGACTGTGCTCTTGTCAAGCAGGAACACAACAATGAAAAAATGAACATAGCAGGTCATGAGACATGCCTGTGTGGTCTCAATCACCAGCTCTTGGATCAAATCAACAATAACGACAGCTATCAATGCCAGGGATTAGATTTTGAAGTCTTATTAAGGACATTTTCTGAATAGAAAGACCAGATACATACATTGGTATGTGATCTCTGGAAAGAGCAAGGATCACAATGGGGGTGAATGTAGGATTACAAGTCCATGACCAGTGGATCATGGTTACTGAGGAACAGAGCTTTGTGCAGCAATTTGTGGCAACTTACATCTTGCGCCTCATATATTGCAAAATAGTTAGACTACAAGTTGTAATAACATGAGATTACTGAAGGTAGCGACATCATGACGTACATAATGACAAAAGAAATGAAGAATGTGATAAAGTTTAAACAATTTAATGACCTACAAAAGTTAAGTTATATATTATCCAACCCCAACATTTGTCTTCTTACTGCCTAAACCTGCCATTTATACTTTAAAGCAAAAATCTTATGTACATAGCTGCTAATATCCTTTTTGTAGATCTATGTATAGGTTTTAACATGTCTTCCTGCACATTTACATTTAACTGAATGTATATACTACGAATATCATCTCAAAACTCTGTATAGGAGTGGCTCAGATTTTATTGACATATTTACTGTATTTTTATTTTGAGGTGAATAAGGTGAATAAACAATCTGTCTGTCTGTCTACATAAAGTACATGCTCTAATGCTACTGCCTAGACATGGTTGATCACTTAATTAATGATTGTGAATAATAAAATTATGCTTAAAACAACAGTGATCCTTGTTAGTAAAGAGGCAACAAGAGTTATGTATCAACATGAAAGACATGTTAGTGAAGAATAAACTCAACAAAAAATCAAAATAATTTGGCACATTAATGTTTCAGGTGTATATCATGATAAAGTTCTTTACCTTCACCTAGTGACTACAAATGAAATAGAATGTACATAAAGATTATATGTGTCCACATAATACACCAAGTCAGCATGACAGGAACATTACATGTCAGTCCATGTTTATTCACCTGTGTGAATGGCCTTTTAATTTTTGTTACTTGGTTTATGGATTTTTTTTCATACTTGATGGTAACAATTATTACAGATTACAATGATTACTCTGTTATACATTTCATTATTCAACATAACAAGCCTTGAAAATGGGCCTATGCCTGCAACACTATTATTGTGTTATTTAACCGACCCAGAGAGAATAAAATGATTGCACATTATTTTTTTATTAAACATTTGAAAAATTTAATGGTCTACAGAGCTCCAGATAAGCTTTTGGTGTTGTGGGTATTTTACCCATGCATCTTAAAATAATTGTGTATCAGTAATTCTATCTGGGTATTCAAATTTCTGTTACCCACTAGTCTTTACACATATGGGTATTTAAGTTAAATATTTAAAAACACTATTCATCTAGTCCCTGCAAACTGGTGTCGTGTGGGTTCGAGAGCTTTGTAGGACTCAAAAATACCACGATACTTCCACAAGAAAGTGTGATGGCAAATGATCATGATGTAACTGTCATCGTGGAGTTTGGCAAGGTTGACGGAATGCCCGTTTATAATTTCAAAATAAGTTGCTGATTTGCGAATCGAATACGCAGGGTTACTTCACAATATTTTGATGATACGCACAAGTTTTATTTTTGTAGCGTATCTGTAATGTTCATTGCGTATTTGATACGCTTGGATTTTATTTTACTGCATATTTCTGCATTTCTGATGCCTATTTTACGCAGATACGCAGCTTATCTGGAGCTCTGGGTCTAGGAGCTGTAAACCAGGTAACACAGAAACAAACAAAAATACATTGTTATCCAGAAAGCAGTTAGTGTTACAGGGTAATCACATGCTGTAAGTATTTGTGACTTTGAGTTTGATGGTCTCAGCAAGAGGTATAAACTGATGTCTTTACCCAAATTATCGCACAGTTGCTGATGCAGTATAAAATGATAATGCACTCAAGTCAAGTCAAGTGACAGATACATTGCCAGTGAGGTGAAAGGTACTTCTGTGCTTTTAGATCCATCCATCTCAATGAATAGTGATTGAAAATAATTGATAATGATTGAGTCATTTGTTCAGGCTGTTTTCAAAGCCAGAAGACTCCTTCTCTGATTGTATTCTGTAAACTATATAAATAAATGTTCATAATGCTCCTTTTTATATTTGAGCTATTCACCATTTTAGGATGGTAAGTGTAATATTTTGGATGGTGATCTTGAACATCGTTTCTCCAAGTATTCCCTTAAACATAAATAGCTTTCAAGTAGGAAACTTTAGGTCAGCCTCCACAGATACATAAATATGTTGAGACAGTGTGTCAACAAAATAAGCTTGTCCTGTTCTATCTTTCAACTACGAATGCACCTTGTCACCTCATGTACAGTAGACGACATGTTCTTTCCCTTCTTGTCTGATATGTGGCACGATTTTGCCTTGGATTTGACCTAACACTTTCAGATCTGGTCATTAATTGTAGTTGAGGACTATCACGAGGTGTTTGTCTAGCAGATGCAAGAGGGTCAATGTCTTCAGATCTGACTGATGTCCGGGACTGGTGTCCATTCATGAGAGACTGTTCTGTGCCCTGGCGGCTTGTGTATGGCATAGACATAGTGCTGCTTTTCAAAGAGAAATTAGTAGCCTGTCTGGATACAGATCTGGACAAGTCTGTTCCTTGTCTTGACACTGACCTAAGGAAATCTGTACTTTGTCTTGATGTTGATCGGTTATCAAGGTGAAGTTCTGAAACTTGCCTACTAAATATTGGTTGCTGGTATCGAGGTGTTTTCTGCTTTGGCGAAGTAGGCACAGTGTCTGAATTTGACCTGTTAACTAGCATGTTGCCAGGCCTAGGACTTCTCTTTAATCTTCTCCTGGGACTTCTACTGGGTTTTGTTTGGTAAGTTTTCTCATTCTTATTGGTTGACATGTCAAACCCTAAATGACTATCAACAGTCAAAGTTTGTTCAGAGGAAAACATGCCTTGATACACCTTTCCATCTCTACCAATATTCTCATTGTTGATGCTCTGGGATACAGATCGATACCGCTCATGACTCCTATGCTGTTGTTCATGGTAATGATGAACACCCTTCAGCTGATTCAACAGATTCTCAAGTCCAATAGTATCCTTCTGCAGATCCTGATACTCCTGCTCTGTCTGATACATCTGTTTCTCCTTCTGACTCTTTGCGGTGGACACCTCATCTATCAAGCTGTGTATTCTCTTCAACAGTGGCTCCTGTAGCCGCAGTTTGTCAGCAACTTCCAACTTCTGGATCTCACTCTCTTTACCCTGCAACTGTTCCTCCAGTGCTAGTACACGAAGCTGCTTCTCCTCGACCTTCTCCTCAAGCTGCCTGAGCTTGTCCTCCAGGGTTTCAATTCTTTTATTTGATTCTTTCTCTAGCTCCATCACCTCCAAGTCCTTATTGTCAAGATAATGTTTCAGTGATGCTTTATCTGAGAGGACTCTCTTGACCATGCTACACACATCATTTTCTGCCATTTGCTTCTCAGTTTCGCTAAATTGACTGGAAATATTTGAAAGTATGTTGTCCTTGTTTGACACAACATTCAACATTTCCCTCGCTACTCTGTCTAGTAGCTCAGAGGTTACGTTTAATTCAACAATGTTAAATTCCTTTATTCCTTGACTATGGAGGTAGGTCACCAGTCTCAGATAGATATGCTCGATTGTTGATCGCAAACTTTTTATGACACTGACATCTTCTTCGTTATGGAAATCTTCAAGCGTCTGCACTGCCTTTTCCAGTACAGTACTGCTCTGGCTTCTGTTTGGAGGATCATAACTGGGCTGTATATCTGTATTATCATCAGGGACGAAATCACCGTCCCTAGTGTACACGATACCTGGAAGATATTAATGCTAATATAAGCAGAATATACCAAGTAAACACAAATTATCCATCATGCCATAATCCACATGTTATAGACAAAATAGATGTGTCTGAAAGGTCCTTATTGGGTGACTGAACATGAAGGACTCCATGACCTCCTTCATTTCAATCACTGAGAGCACATGCAAAAATCATGTTCAGAAGATTCCACCAGAAAGGTTTTTCTTTATAAAATGAAATTAAGGAGTAACAATGTGTGACCTGGCTATTGTTTATTATATGTCAGTGGAACATTAGTCATAGTATCAACCCCTGGTGTAGTCCAGAGTCACGTAGGGTTGTTTATTTGTTGACGGATGTGCATTGTAATGCAGTATTCACTAGTAAGCCCTGGACTTCTGGCTACAGTGGAAGACATGGGAATATATACAGCAATATGTTGAACAAGGGAGATAACATACGTCTCTGCTTGTTGTAGAATGTCTCCAACTCATCTTTGATCCAGGGTGCCTGTCTCTCCAGCACTCGCAGTAGGGTGGGGAAGGCATTGGGACCACGGCGGGGCAAGACCGACAGAAACTTGGCATTCTTGGCTTCTACGGTCACCTCACACTGAAAAATATTGTCATCAAGTCTCCATGGAATATTTCAGTGTCAGTTCATATGGTCAGTCTCTATGAACAGAAGTTGATATTGTAAACTAGGGTCAAGGTCTTTAGAAACAACATGGAGTAGTACATTGTTAAAGCAAACACAGATACAATCTGGGTGAAAACCTTTTGAGTCTACTTGCCCAAATATGGCTCTAAGCATAATTTTCAGTGCAGTCCAGTGGACAATTATTACCTTAGACAACTTAAGAACAAAAATAATTTTACTAGATTCAGGCCTTGTGCCTCGGGTTTGTTTATTTGATAGTGATTCATAAACACGTGCTCATGATATAGTTGGAATTGTACAATCGACTATTTTTGGCAGAGATTTCTTATGAATATGGAAATGGTTTTGTCGCTTTATTTGTTAAACCTAATCACAAGTTCAATCCATATCACTGTAACTGTCTGTTTTTATCTGAAATGGACAGAAAGTAACACTACCAGTTTCCATGGTACAGTATATGTTTGTTTATTTGTTTGTTTGTTGTTTAACATGGCACTTAGCAATATTCCAGCTATCTGTAAATAATCAAGTCTGTACCAGACAATCCAGTGATTGATATCATTGATCTAGGCAATTGGGATGCATTAACCAAGTCAGCAAGCCTGACCACCCGATCCTGTTAGGCACCTCTTACGACAAGCATAGTCGCCTCTTATGACAAGCATGGGTTGCTGAAGACCTATTCTAACCCGGATCTTCACAGGTCATACAGCACATGTCATGAAACTGGTCACAATCTGTCTACTGAGTTTAGTCATTGTGATACATGTTCATGTTTGACAATACCAAGAAGTGGATATAAACTTAAGTACCAAATATATCCATGACTGTGAATTACATGTTTATGAATACTTGGGGAATCAAAAAAAAAGTACTGAACTACGAAACAATTTCACCAGTCCTGTGGAGTTTTAATGAACGAAGCATATAATGGTAAACAAATGCTTTATAAGAAATGTAAATCAATGCCTGTCCCAAGAATGTGTTTTCAATTTAAACTGTCTGTTCATTTGTTAGGTATTTCATTACTGGTGAGGGGGAGGTAGGGTAGCCAAGTGGTAAAAGCGTTTTCTTGTCACATCAGAGGCCTGGGTTTCATTCCCCACATGGATACAATGTTTGAAGCCCATATCTGGTGTCCCCTGTCCTCATATTGCTGATATATTGCTATAAGCGGCATAAAAACATACTCACACACTCATTATTGGTGAGACCAATAAATATGCATGTCCAGTGTCAATGACTCATTAACATTATTGTTTGATGTATATAAGAAATGAGCAAAATAAATGCCTATATTTAAAATTTATTTTCCATGAATACCAATTAGTCAGTCAATAACTGAACATATACATATATACAGATTGTCCCATCACCCCATGCTTCTTTAAACCTAAAACTAAAAATGCAGATCTTGAAAATGATCAGAAAATGTTACAAACTATGTTTTTTATGATTATGATGCATATTCGATGCAAGTTTGTTGTCCCACTTTTGATATTTATTCCTAGTTGAAAATCTTGACCACAGAATTTCAAGTCATATGAATGTTTTGTTAAAAAATATTAAATGTTAGTGTCTACCAGACCTGGGTATTGGCAATACACATGACTGCTGTGTGGCAAAGTAGTGTTATTTTCATATAATGCAATGCTTTCATATATATATATATATATATATATATAGATAGATAGATAGATAGATAGATAGATATAAATCCAACTGAAATTGAAACATAAATTTTCACATTTCAGTGTAATTATTTTCATATAATGCAATGCTTTCATATATATATATATATATATATATATATATATATATATATATATATATATATATATATATATATTGTTTTATTGTCTAATATTCAGTTTAATATTTAAAAAAATGTAAAATAGTCACTGGTTTAAATCCATTAAATCCAACTGAAATTGAAACATAAATTTTCACATTTCAGTGTAATTATGTTCATGCAGAGTAGTAATTAGTAATCATGACACATTCCTAAACTAAACTGTGAGAAATAATTCTTAAAAATATTTAATATTAAATCACTCCTTAGTAAAAATCCTAACTTTGGAATGTAAATTATTTTTTTATTAACTTATGGTGTTTGTTAAATAATGTTTATTTATCAGATACTGAGCCAAGACTATTGGTACATTGTATAGGCATCAAGGACCAATGTCTACCTGTCTACCTGTCTACCGGTATTGCTGATCCACGACTAGTGTCTACTGGCATGAACATGTCTTTCGGCTTCTTCTTTTTTAATAAGATTTTAGTCTGAATGTAATGACTATTATTAGCCTAGACAGAAGGACTCAGCTTTGGACTGGTGAGTCATGGACTGCATGTAGGTTTGATTTACAATAAAAATTCAGTGAAAACATGTTTGTGTGAAAACCAAATATGGTACTAAATATACTTGACCAAACCAATTTTCACTATACCATACAACTATATTGTACAGTAATAGAAAATTAAGAATAAAAAACCAAATGATACCCTAATTTTGGGGCATCTTTATAATCAACTACTGATTATACTGAATACTGGAAAGAATCAATGACTCCAGGATCCCCTGAAACTACATACCAAGATGAAAAACAGTTTCCTTCATGTCCATTGAGATGTGTGTGTAACGTGGTAAAGGTGCATACCACAGTCACTAGGATATATCTATATCTGTAATTTACTTTAAATGTCATCTGTGAGATTATCCCTTCAATAAATCTATGACATCTGAATGTGATATGTCTATTTTTATTACCCATGTCTGAGTTGCAGTAATCTCTATGCATACAACTTCACTAACCTGGCTTGGCATGCTGGATAAATATCTGCAAAACTAAAATATATCGATCGTCTTTGTAAGTAGTTGAAAACAATTACATTCGGAACTGACCATTCAATGTTAAAGAGGAATGGAGTGGGAGAGGCTTTTTTGTTGTTGAAAACTATTGTTCAGAAATTAAAAATTATATAGTCATTTGATATTGAGAATAACCAAATAATTTTAATTTTAGGCCAGATAAATTTTGTTTCCTGTTTAAAAGATTTTCCAGGCTGAAATGATGATCAATTTAGAAGAGTCCATGTAAAGGATATACATTTCATTTTCCCCATATATATGGTTTCATTTATAATTTAAAGAAAACTAATAATCAATGTATAAAAATGTATATTTCAAATCAAACACAACTTTGTATCTTCAGTTTGACTTTAGCAAACTTTCTGGCAAGATATTCTGTAAAACAAGAAATTGGTTTGGCTTTATCGATTGTTTCACATTGCATGTTTAGAATGTTAATGTCACAAGAAATGGTACAATTTGATGTTAAAAAAGAACCTTAAAGTTGTTTGTTCATGGATGATGTTTCAAATCAACAAGTCTGAACAATTTGAGAGTTGCATATTGCACTATTCACTGCCAGACAGTGGAGCTGAAAGACTTACTGTGATCTCCTCCTTAAGGTCGAGATCTAGAATCCCTTGTGCTATGAACTCTCCAAGGAAAGTCTCACTCAGCATGATACCTTCAACCAACACATTGTGGAACTTCTGCAGAGTCAACCGTTCTTTGGCATTCATTGCCACAGACTTCAGTCAACCAATCTTCAGTGTTAATGTGATCCGCTTCATCAGTGATACCATTTTAATTATATTGCTAATTGACATACCAATCAATAAATATAGAGATTGGATCATCCAATCAACGTTGTGATGTAACATAGAGTGTTATTGACCCAGTGTTCCTGAACTCTCCTTGCGTCTGTCAGCAGTGTCTGGAATGGGTCTACTTAAGTTTCATCTTCACATGAAAAACAAAAGTAATTTCCATAGTCTTGACAACATATATCCAACTTTATGGCACGTACACTGTCATATTGTCATTGGATCTCACTAGTACACCTAATACCACGCTTTTGTAGTCAGTGTACCTGACAACTCTCTTCACTTTCGTATGTTAGATGAAATCTTTCAGTCATACTTAACTAGTCATCCGTCGAACACCTGGGTCTAGCCGTGACGTAAAGCCAAGTAACCTGATTCACATATATCACATATATATCAGGTCTAGATGGTTTCAATTGGTGCACTCTACACGGTCGGTCGTTGTGAACACTAACCTACCTAGCAGCAACAAAACAAAAGATAAGAAATATAAATGACACATTATCTTTTACCCCTGCCACGTTGAGTTTTGGAGTTGATCCAAGTCAGCATTATTGTACAGATCTCATCTACAGTGTCTGATTATGATTATAATGGGACAACTCACATGATTATGATTGTGCTCTATTCTCGATAGAGCTCGAGAGGAGCACACTCATTGTGTTGATGTATTGATTACTAAAAGCCTGTGACATATCACCAGCAGGAGCTCTAAAAAACAATTATTATCTTATGTTTTCTGGTTTTTGGATTATTGTTCACCACACAAAATTTGTAGAGTTAAATATCTTTAGCTCACCTGGCCATATATGCCTGGTGAGCTTATGTCTTCGCAGGTTGCCCGCCGTCTTTAATTTTTTTACTTTGTTCACTTCTTCTATGAAATGAATGGATAGATTCAGCTGACATTTTTTGTGGATGTTGTTCAAGGCGTCAAAACTGGAATTTCAATATGGCCACCAGGTAGCCATCTTTAATTTTAGAAATGATAAAAAATTCTTCTCCTCAAAACCAAAAGGGACAGATTGAGGCCTGAAACCTTTTGAGTGAGCTGTCACCATATGTATAGTGGGGCGGTTAAGGCGAAAATTGTGCACCAAACTTGGCTCACTTTGTTCCACTGGATTGTTTTAGCAGTTGCATACAGTGGTTCATCCATTGCAAGCATAGGTATCTGACCTGGATTCAATTGCTAAAAACCACATGAAACCTTTTTAACCACATGAATTGAATGCTGTGTCATATCAACAGACTAGCACATTAGAGAACATTGGCATGAAGGCAATTGTTGTTGGAGAATATGTTGTATGATAATAACGTACTGAATGCTGCCTATGAGAGGAAATCATTGTTCCCCTTGACTTCCTTCATATGATTTGACCACTTTTACTCATGGTCAAGTACCGTGTTCACACTATCTACATCTCGGGTCAAAGGTCCTTTGAAATGAGCCACATAATTACGAGGGCTGCAACGAATACGCTATGAGGCGAATACGATACGCATCATGAATATATGGTAACGAATATGAATATTTGTTCACGAATACACCAACAGGTCATCAGTTGATGTATTATTTATTATTTTCAGCAAAACAATAACAAAATAATTTTTTTGCCATGGTTTGACAGTGTTGATGATTATTGTAATATTATACATTTATATACTGCACTTATCCAGGTACTAGTATCTGCTAAAATGCGACAATGACCAGTGACCACAATACTGTCAAACTAAATATATAAGAGTGTTGTCTTTGAAGAAATCTTTGTATGCATATAATTAGTGGATATTTTGTTAAAGAACACTCATTTAATTTTTCGATTCTTGTGTCATGAATAAGAAATTCAAGTCATGAATGGATACGGTCTGATTCCCCAAAAATATGAGTGAATCTTTACAGCCCTAATAATTACCCATCTTGCTAAAAAAGGATGGGGGCACATTACTATATACCGTGGGCTGCATGAATCTGGTTTTCCTTGTTTGTGTGCTTTCTTCAGTCAAAAGAACAACATGTGATGTCCCCTTCCCTTCAGCTGTTGGATGCTGCAATGCAGGTACCATGAAGTGAATATCTTGCTGTTGTAGCTCAGGATTATGATAGATGTTATCTTTTGGTGGGCATACCACATCTTCATCTTCATGAACACCACAAACTGTGTTGGCTATGTCTTTTGAAATACACCACACACAGTCATACGAAATGCATAAACCCATGTTGTGAAATTAGATGGAATATTGTGTTTAATACCAAGTAAACTGGGACTGGCATTTCTCAGTCTCTGTGGTGTCTTTGTGTTGATGAGCTGGTGCCCCTAGATTTCATGAATTGAAAACACAATGTTCTGAGATAGTTTGGGACGCTTGAGACTGTATCTCTTGTTGAGGATTGTTTCAATGCCTGGTCCATCCAATGTCATACTGACATCAGCTTTCACAGAGGCAGGTACAGAACATGTTAGTCAGAAGGAAATTTTGCTCTGAAAATTCGTTTCAACCTGAAGACATCTCTGCGGATAACTGTTGCTGCTCTAGCTAGCATTAATGATTCTAATAAAAATTTTGACTGTAGGCATGTTTCAGTACTGGTCCAATATCTTCGTCAGATTGCAATATGACCTTTTTGCTTTGATTGGGAGCTCTCATATGTAGAATTGGTGACATGATTTGATTCCAGTCTTGTTGTGTGTACAGTTACAGAATTTAACCAAGTTCATACAGTCTAATAGATTCCCAAGATCTGCCTTAAGGAATACAGACCTTGCTTCAAATGAATGAATTTTAGTACCAAAAGCCAATACTTTCAGTGAGACATTACTTGGAATTGTTCAAAATGTACGAATGATACTGATATTGTGGATATTGAAGATAAACTAATTTTCGTGGCAATCTTGGATTTTCGTCACCACCACTATATTTGAATTATATACAGCAATGTTTGCAATTAATCCTGCATAATTTACTAATGTTGACAAGATGATAATGATATATTTAGTATTGATTGGCATCATAAGCGATTTCAATCAATTTGGTGACTATCTTGGATTTTTTTACCACCAAGGGGCACTGCTGAGGTGGATCCATATCTAGAAATGTTAGGATTGGTTCATTGTATAAGTGTGCCAAGTTTTTTGCTTTTAACCCAAAGTTCACAATTTTGATAAAATCCAGCCTTTCCCTCCCGACTAGTAGTCGTACCGAGGCATCTTGATTGGAAGCCAAATATGACTGCCAGTAGCCATGTTGAAAAATACACCATTTTGCTGTGTACCATGCCCGTACCCACTAAAGATGACACCTGAATTTGTTCAAAAGGTTTGAATCACCCAGCAGCCATAGCAATGCTGACAGCACCTTTTGTTACATGGCTGTCTGTTAACATTTTGAACCGTTGACAACATATTCAGGTGAGCTACAATACTGTGACACTATTTTTTTACATATTATTATATGTATATAGATTCTATGTAGATGACTCTTCAGTTCCTTTCATCATCCCTCCCCTAATTTCAAACTTCTAATGTCAATTTGCTCCTCAGTTAGTAATCCAACAGTACCTTCGCCTTGTACTTTAACAACTATCCTGAAGACTGGTTACATTTTCTACTGGAAATGATGCCAAAAGACAAGGCGAGGAGATAAAACAATATTTCTCATAAACTTCTACGTTTGTGAGTGTGACCGTGTTCAGGCTGTGCCTGTTGATAAATTGCTCAGCTGCCAAGATATTTGGTAATTTATCCCATTGGGACCTTGGTTAGACTCGGTTCCCAACACTCTAGTTCTTTTGAAAAGTGGCTACTAAATTGGACCTGGTGGTCAGACTGGGCCGAGTGACATCGCTCATTGCGTGTCATCCTTCGTACTGTGTTGAACATTGCTCATAATGTCATCCACTGGCCTAGACTAGATTATTTCAGTGTTTCCAGGGGCATCTTTATCTGCCAGTAATGTTGGCTGGTAGCAAACGAAAATACCGGTACTGACTAAAGATTTCTGGTCCCATGATTGCTAATAATAGCTCTAGGACTGTTTTCACCTGTTTTTGAAGTTAGCGATGTATGTCAAGGTAGCAATGATGACATAAAAAAATTTAAACATCAACTCTCCAGGTATTGCAATGACTATCATATATTCTAGTATTGGCTGATAAGAAGTTAGAAAACTGACACGTCAATATCCAGTATAAAGCAGAGAACGGAAACACTCACTCACTCACTCACTCACTCTCTTTTTTTAAGAAACAGAAATCACTGAAATCTTTAATGTTTTCACATTATAAATAATACGGGGACAGACTGTAGATCAGTACAACAATATATGTAGCTGAAAGATAATTCATTGTTATCCTAATACAGTATGGGTGGTTTATTCCCTGTTGTGTCCCTCAAGCATGATAGGATCCATTGATTGTGGGTTTGACTGCCAGATTTGCCCTGATCACAAGCATTAGTTTGTTAGCAGCATACAATAGCTTATGGATTTCAAGTGGTAAAAGTCGAAAATATCATGCCTTGATATCTCTCTCTCACTCACTCACTCACTCACTCACTCACTCACTCACTCACTCACTCTGAAATACATCTTTCATGTCATTTTTATTATCATGTTTAGATAAAAATTAATCACTAACACTAGTTGGCTCTCCCTGAAGTCACTTTAGATTGTTCATCAGTAGGGATGATATAAACATGCTTGTCTCAATAGCGCCATTGCATTGATTTACGTTTGGTTAATATCTTAGATGAGGTCTTTGGAGAAGTCCGACATTGTAAAACATAAATTCTTGTGGATTTTGTTTTGTGATGTTTCTGATAGCAAGAGGGTCTCTGCTGGAATCCATCAATGCTTGAACTGATGTCCTTGGATCTCAAGGATGAGCTGGACTGTTGGCTAGCAGACACAGATCTGGAGTCCCTGTAGACGCCCCTCAGTGAATCTCCAGTTACCTCTCTGCTGATTGTAGTTCCTGGTCTCCTTACACTGGTCAGAGACATATTTGCACTTTGTGGTCTAACCAGGGCTGCAGTCATCAACGGCATTGCTGTTGACCTGTTACCTATCGAAAGCTTCTCTTGATGATTGCTTGGAGTCAGAAAATGGCATCAGGATGTATTTTGACCTGATGGTCTTTGACTGAGTCTGTCGACTGGTCTAGGGCTCTTTTTTATTTTTCCAGTAGTTTTGTGGATATTGGTCAGTGTAATATGCACCTCACATCTACCAGTAGATGGATCAGTGTGGAAATGGTGAGTTTGTCCATGTGCATCAGACTCATTTGTCCTAGCAGTTTCACTCCCCTTCATGAACTTGGGTGTATCATCATTACAGCCATGCCCTTGTACATGTAGATGTTGACTGTGTCCCTCATTGTCGAATCTCCTCCCCATGAGGGATTCTTGTTTTCTCTGCTTTTCAATCTCATCCAGCTTAATTTTCAGTGCAGTTTTCCAGCAACTTTATGTATTTATTTTTTTCTTGTTGGTCTTCTTCAAGCCGTTTTAGTTTCCTTTCCATCTCAATCATGCCTTCAAGTGTCCTCTCCATGCTTTCAATATTAGATTTCATACCCTGTATGATTTCATACAAACTGTTGGCTTCTTTTTCCTCTTGGGTAAATAGGCTTGAGATAGCCAAGAGAGTTGTGTCTTGATTTGATATTATTTCTATGATCTCACTAACAACTACCTCCAGAATGTCCTCTGGGACTTCGGACAAAGCCAGATCATATTCCTTCACACCTCTGCTGTCTAAATACACTGCAAGCCTTTTATAAACTCTAGCTACAATCAGTTTCAGTTCTCTGACCATGCTGCTCTTCTCCTCATGGAAGGAACAATTTGTCTTGGTATTTCTCTCCCCATTGGAGATAATTGTGTTTGAGGTGTCAGATATTGAGAGTGGGTCATTCTTACAATCTTTGTTGTCAAGGAATCCAAACACTGCAATGTTTAAAAAGAAATATTTTGTCATTTAATTTATATATAGCATGGTTAGCTTTTTGTCAACATGTTATTGATGAAATAAATTTTGAATTCAAAATATTAACTGAGTCTTGAGTATCCACCAAAATTGATTCCATTGGGTGCAAAAGGCAAAACAGTGATGAAAATTATATGAATGGATCCCTGAAAATGCTGACTAGAAAGGGTATCTGACTTGGTTGATGCATGTCATCGCTCCCAATTGCGTGGATTGATGCTCATGATATCAATCATTGGATTGTCTGGTCCAGACTCGATTACTTACAGACCGCCGTCATATAGCTGGAATATTGCTGAGTGCAGCGTTAACCAACCAACCAACCAACCAACCAACCTCATTTCATAGACCATGGTGTAATTTTAGGTGTAATTTAGATCTATAAGAGCCATAACTCAAATAAGAAAGATACTTTCGTCAAATATGTGGCAGTGGTTGGATCCATATTGTGATGTTTTCAGATATATATTTACTGCAACTCATTTCACAATAATTGTTTCCTCTCATAGCATACCGGGATTGTTGTAGTCAATAACTGGTGCCAGTTTGTTGAAAGACGCCTCCATTTCTTCAGCAATCCAAGGATATACATCTTTCAGTTGTAGGATGCAGACATCATATGCTTGTGGTCCACATTTTGGCAGAATAGAGAGGAATTGGGCAGTCTTGGCATTTGAAGTTGGCCCACTCTGTAAATGACATATCTATTGCAGGGCTTGATTTAAGATACTTGATTAAACCTGATTAACCTATTGGGTCAGACTACAAATATGTTCAATCATGTTCTTTACCACCATTGTTTAAATATATTCCATGAAGGGATTGAGTTTGAACTGGTGGGATAACCACAGCTTTGTCATGTAAATATTAATAAACGAACGAGTTGCAGTCAAGCTTGACTACATAGGACAAGTATATCTTGAACAATATGACACAATAACTAGATTTAGAAATAATGAAACTCAGCTTTATATGGACTACAAAGCGTTGTGGTATGTGTTTAGTTACTTACCAGAATCTCCTCGATGTCACCCTCATGCAGAACTCCCTTCTGTAGGAATGGTGCGAGAAACATTTCATTCACCCTTAAATCAAGCATCAATTTGACATGGAAGAACTGCAGGGTAGACTTGTGGTTTTTCTCCATTGTGGAACAGATATCCTTTCAGTGAGAAGGTATACAAACTGTTTAAATAGCAGTCTTTTTTCTATGTTGATATCAATACACTGTGTGTTTGTTGCTTATACATTACCGCAGGACAATTTGTCTATTATTAGGTCTGACTGATCTTTGAGGGGGGAATAAATTGAAACCACTTGGCAAAGTGTGGTGTCTCTTATTTTGTCTTGCAGAGATCAAGACAGCAGAAAGGTACACATGACTGATGGATTTGAAACGATAGAAACTGATATTACCTATGTTGGGTAAAAGAAATAACAAAATATAACATGTTAGAATTATTAATCATTGCTATAAGATGGACATTTCAATTGGTATCTTTTAATGAACATGCAACATCTGCTAATTCATGCTGTAGTACAGGGTTTCAGATAGCTTTAGTTTCTTGGACATTGACTGCTTGTCATAGACACTTGTACCAACATAACTGTATGTTAGACTAATAGTGGTGTAAGCATGTGAGAATAAAAGAAGAAATGATTTCATTTTAGGTCACATTTATTTTATTCTCCCATTAACATATACATGTATGTTTTGGTAGGTCAGAATTAAGTTAATGTACAGTAAACTACGTTTATAACGAACATGTTTATAACGAACTGACGGATATAACGAACATATTTTTTGGTCCCGACCATTTGCTGTTTATACATGTATATATGCTTATAACGAACTATGTTTATATCGAACTTAAATCAGTGGTCCCTTTGAGTTCGTAATAACCATAGTGTACTGTATTTGAATATTTTCAACTTTGTTTGAAATGACATTGTTTGGGTTGGTTAATTTGGAAACAAATAAATGCTAAATATGTTTATAAGGTAGACTGTTAAACACTAATTTGTTTTGTTTGTGTCAAAGAAGAGTTTGATCTTTCTATTGAATGTTTGTAGTTGCCCAAGACTATTGATATACATTTGATAAATGTTGTATTTTTCAACAGTTTAGTTTGCCCCCTGTATTGTAGGTATTTACATTTTCTCATTTAAAAACAGAATATCCAGGCAGAGAGAAAGAGTTATCTTGTTGAGCAACTTTAATCTGCATTGATTGAATCATTACCCAATAAATAACAGAAGTGGCGTTAAAGTCACACCAACCAGTGAGTGGAGACTTAGCCAGTAGATATGTTCCGGGTCGTAGTCAGTTTCTTTCTACTGACTTACTACAATTGCTACTTTATAATGACTCTCTACATACCTGCAGGTTGTAATTCTGCCATAGATTAGTTTTTAGGGTTTACAATTTCGTTTCTGTTTAAAAGACGGACCACCATTCCTTTATACATTGTTAACTCACCTGATATGACAACCATATTTGCACTACAGTGCTGTGATTGTTTTATTTACACCTGTTATCAGCCAGCTAGGACTGTAAAACCATAAACATGCATGGATAATCCATCCAGTGCATGTCATGCATGTGATGCCTTCCGATCTATCTGGGAGGCTCCCGGATTAGCGACCCACAACTGATCATTAAATCGTATCAACAATGTGAACTGCACAGAAAAGACAGGGAGTCGTAACAGCAAGGTGCCTGTAGGGCACTTGAAATGAATAATCAGCCAAGTATTTGTGCAAACACAACGAGCAATGAGATGAAATACAAAATATTTAATACACATGATAAAACAACATACATAAACAAAATTTTGCCACAAATTTGGGAGCTGACTGATACTTTATCACAAGGAGAGGAACAACCTCGAGCTGGGTGATAGTCCTGGGGCCACTGGGGACTTGGACAGTGGTCTGGGGACCGGGGCTGCGACCTGAGCTCTGGTGTAGACTTGGGGGATAAAGGACCACTCAAGAGGAGTGGGTAAGTGATTGGATGGGTACCCACTTACAAGAAGGAGAGCCCCCAAGTTGTGCAAGTTGTGGCAAGGAAGGTACATAGTCTACTTAAAACATGCCCACCATGGCAAGTGGCAACACATGTACAGAGGAATCACATAAACATAATGCAATAGAATCCAAACCAAAAACAACCAATTCAGCGCAGCTAGTCAGAGTGTTCACCATGACTAGGCGTGTATATTCCTGCATAATTTAATACAATGACTTCATTGGTTATCAGATTTATCAGAAATTTACCTCAAAGTTACGCTTGGAAATGAGAACAAATTATGACCAGCACTGCTGTCTCCAGAAACAACACAATGATTGGTTGATTCGGAGGTCGAAATAGCGAGTTTCATGATCAGGGTTCCTCTAAATGTTTCAAAGTCAAAATTCAAGTAAACCTCAAGTTAGTTTGCTTTTTAGCTGACATAGTGACTCGTCAGCACAGAAATATCAACACATCAAACTTTGTCAAATTTCGTGAGAATGTATCATGTGATTATTTTAAGCAAATTGATTGGCTAATAGTTAGCTAGCATCCCAGATAGGCAGTCTGATATGCATAGAACAGTATTAGACATCCAATGAGATAGTACATATCTGGATCAGAAAGATCGTAAGACAATCGTAGCAAAAATATAATAGCTCTTTCAAATATTGCATGCATGTTTTTTAAATTGAATGACCGAACATTTGTAAGAGATTTATGAAGTGAAGTTATTAAGTCAGACTATTAACAGACTATCACAGACAGAAAAAGCACACTTGATATTTCTTTGGCATATTTTAACCAAATTCGCGCCAAGACTGCATCAACCTGGAAGATTGGTCGGATTGAACACGTTGCCAAATCGTCAAGCTACCGATCATTTGTTTTTCTATATCTGTTTCTGTTTATCAGAGATGATCTTTGACTGAATCTTTTTATTATTATTGCCCTATCTACCCTACGAGGCCGAAGGATACACAGGTCAATAAAGAATACTCTGTGTGTGTACAGCTATGTATTCCTGTGGGTTAATCAACTTGGTCTTTAAATCAACTAACATTTTTAGTTGACAATATGATTGATCGATCGTGGTTTAAAATCTAAAAATGTAAATAGATGCAAATCTCATGCTACATCTAGACTCAGTAATTATTTGTCCTTTTTAGAAAAAAGAAATTGCTCTTTTACAATTCTCCCTGATGATGCAAATATCATTTTATCACAATCAGAATGAGTGTTCTCTTCTTTCTGCAGTTGATAAAATATAACATGTATGTAGCCAAGCAAACATTTATCCTCCACATAAACCACATCCATCAAATATTTTTGTCCGCTTATTAGTGGTGTAACGATACGGCGATACAGTATTGTATCCCAATGCACAGCCCACGATACGATGCATCGATTTGGAAAGCATGTATCGCGATACATACGATATTTTCATAACACAGTTTTACTTACGTATTTTCTTGAGTATAGTGCGCACTTTTTTCAAAAAAACACAGCTGTGTAGAAGGGGGTGCGCATTATACACAAATTAATGAGTTTTGATGGTTTTTTTCCCCAGTGAAAGACATTACCGTGAGCACGTAACACCGGAAATACCATGTCAACAAATCCATACTGAAGTTCGCAAATTATTCATGTAATTGCACTGTCTGGCTATAAAAAGTGTTCTTTGTATATCTGAACTTATGTTTGTAACTTTTTTCATTAATTTTATTCAAAATTCCTTTTAATATTGTTTTAATTAATTTCGGCGAAATCGTGTGTGAAGCAATCGGAAGATCGCACAACTTACAGTTATTTACAGCAACCACGGTCAGATTACCGCTATTGATGCCTTGGTACGAACTTTAGTTGACAGAGAATGGATACATATATCATAAATGCCATACTTTGATTCGTTAAAAGTCATATTTGTTTTTTTGGACGATTCTATGTCAACACGTAATTCTCGCGATCACGCGCATGGGAGCCTTGACGGTGACTGGTCAGACTGGTTCCATGTAAAAAATAATACCCGGCAATAGCGATCAGCGGCTTCGCTTAGGGTTATTATTATTTTAAATATGTTTAGTAAAAGCTGCATCTAAATTAACAAGATATTGGAATATATTATTCCTGATAAAAAAATAGTTTCAGATACAACTTTTGCCGATCCTTGCATTAAAATCCTGTTAAGTTATATCATTGGGTGTGTCTTAACCGAATTACCGGTAGATTCCAAGAAAACGTGTGTACAGCTGATTGCTGTGTCCGGCTTAGTTTACGAGAAAATACACAAGGTAATCTTAATCCCTGGATATAAAACAATGCCTAGCTATAGCTGAAAAAAAATTCAATTTAAACGGTAAATCAACATGTCTGGTGATTTTTTATCTCAAATTTCAAATTTGTACTGACAAAGTTTCTCATCACCCGTTCGTTTGCCGGACTTCGCTGAAGGGGTAGATCTACGGTGTAATTTTTTTCTGCGCATAATATTCAAATTTCTTTTTTTTCCAACATATTGAACCCGCTAGGGGGGGGTGCGCATTATACATGGGTGCGCACTATACTCAAGAAAATACTGTACTTTGAAACTGTTAAACGTATTTCATGTTTCAAAGCCAGTTTGTTTCAGTAAAACATACTGTATTGCTGACAATTTGCTATAACAGTAAATAAACACCTTATATCTTCTTCAACTGTACTTGTCACATCTTTTAGAGAGCAGAAAGACATCAACTTGGCTTAGCTTGTACCAGTAAACACTGTATCCTGATACGTATCGTATCGCGACCCCTGTATCGCGATACGTATCGTATCGCGACCCTCCCGTATCGTTATACCTCTACCGCTTATGCCTTAACAGATTGTTTTAAACAAAATATAATGACTGTCAACTAAGTTTTGAAAAGTGTGGATGAACATGTAATAACTCATTTATTGTTGCCATATTTGCTTTAATTATCTAATTGTACAGATATATCAGGGAATACTAAAGTTCTACCTATATATAAGCGACCATAATATAATGTCCAACAACCAAAATCTAGCACATTGTAACCAGGTGATAATTATCCAATAAAAATGAGCTTCTGTTCTGGATGTTGTCCACAAATTACTTGAGTGGGAGATGTATTTCCTGGAGTTGTGGTGCAAGGACTATCAACCTTCATGCATCTACTTTTTTGTAGGAACCCAAGGTCATCATTATTCCCCAGATTTGAAAAACAGGGTGATATGGCGATCAGCGTGCCTGTCCGCTGGCAGTCTGTTGATATATCCATTTTTCGTTTCTGAATCAGAAGTCCAAAACCATTGGATATTTCTTGTGGAACTAGTTATACAGATCAGTCTAGTGGTGAACTGGTGCCTTTTGATGATTTGGGATTTTGAAAAATACTGACAGCATTATTTTGTTTGGCAAATTAGGCTGCCATACACTTTAAGTCAATTTGTTGAAAATAATTCATCTGTAGAGAACAGATATATACCGGTAAGTATGTGTGTGAATTTTTATTATTACTTTTTAGACTTGCATTATAGGTACTATAATTATGGCAGAGAAGGGAAATTGTAATTAAATTACTATTCATTTATCCTTTAGATAACTATTTCTTTGCCTGTTGCAATAATTTGTATGTTGTCTTTTAGCTGTATCATGCTACTTTGGTAGCCAAAACTCTATCAAGGACATGTTGAACAAAGGTATCTAATGGCAATGAGCCAAAAGTGGAGTATAAGTAGCCAAACTCCATTTCCAAATTGCACCAGACTGGGGGGATATGTCATCTTCTGATGACTCTTGTTATGAAGATGTGTTTTGAGTATTGGTTGCAGTGCTCAGATCAATTCATTTTCAAGGACATTGTCTGATTGTCATCCAAACTGCCCTGAGGATATTTTTCAAGTTTGGAAATGGTATAGAAGAATGTCCTATAAATAATTGCTAAAATCATGAAATGTCCTCAGGATATTTTTCTTGACCAACTTCACTGAGGTTGAGATACAAATATGGAATTCCCTTCATCATATCTCCTCTATTCTGGGTTAGAATTGGTCTACAGCAATCCATGCCTGTCATAAGAGGCAACTTCTGTGAACGGAGGATCAGGCTCACTGTCTTGATTGATGCATGTCAAAATATCCCAAATGCATAGATCGGTGCTCATGATGTAAGTCACTAGATTGTCTGGTGCAGTTTTGATTATTTACAGATCTCCATCATATACCTGGAATATTGCTGAGTGCAACATTAAAAACTAAACAATCAAAACTCCAGTACTTTCCACTCTAATCAAGAATGAGTGAGTGAGTGAGTATGGTTTTACGCCGCTTTTAGCAATATTCCAGCAATATCACGGCGGGGGACAGCAGAAATGGGCTTCACACATTGTACCCATGTCGGGAATCGAACCCGGGTCTTCGGCGTGACGAGCTAACGCTTAAACCACTAGGCTACCCGACCGCCCCTAATCAAGAATAATGTGGGATAGAGATATATGACAGTTATGTGCAGAAAGTCATTTATTTTACGTAACTGTCAGGTGGCTTAGTGGACTCCTAGCAGTACCTGTGGAACACTTATGTATGCCGGGGGATTACAGGTGCATTTAGTCATGCCTAAATATAGATTTGGAGCAATCATTTGTCAAACGAGTTAGTGTGACTGTACGACTTCATCTTGATAAGGTACGACTGTGGTGGTTTGAGAACAAAAGGCTATCAACTGCATGAACTATAATAAACCTGAAACACGTGAATTTGCAATGCTAAGTAATCATTTTCTATTCAAGGTTATATACATTTGGATGTTGGTAATTTGTAAAGAGAGAATAGACTTGCCATTTATCAAGCTGTCAGCACTTACTGATAATGTTGTCGGATAACAGAGAGTCTACTGCTCTTGTGGACACTTTTCAATACCTGATAGACATATTATACGATAAGAAACGAATTAGAACAGAAAACGAGTTGTTGACATTTTTTATTGTTTGACTCACTGTTTGCAATGGATCTGAATATGGATATGTTGGGAACTAACAAATACAAATTGCACAAGCTAGTAGCCAACTCACTCAACATTACACTATTATAGATCTGCATTTAATTTGGTGTCTTGTGACATGTTTTGTTTCCTCAAATTCAGAACAAACACGATGAATGATAAGATGAAGCTGAAGCAGGTTGGTGATGCTTTGTGTTGACATGATGACATTGAGTATACTTCAATACATATTTGTTTATTTGATTTGAAATGGAAGGCATGACATATCTTGATTGTACACATTGCATGACTGATTGAAACTGAAAGATTTTTTTATTCTTGACTAATAATGTTGACTTGTGAAATATATCACTCTCAACACAAACAAATGAACTCCTTAACAGCATTAAAAACTGATTGAATACAAAACATCAGATAAGTATCAGGACTGGTTGTTGTGTTCCAGATATGAGCAATTCATACTCCTATCAGTGATGCTAATCATGGCTGTCCCTGTGCTGGTGTGCTACAGTAGCCTTGTGTCTTGTTACAACATGATTGGGTTGATTCCAAACACAGACACCAGCTGTAATGCTCAATCTTGGGTGTCCCCATCAGTACATGTCTGTCACTTGGCAGCAATACACATACTGTTTGTAGATAAAAGTAACAAGTACCATTTCCATAATCAAAAGAAATCTCAAAGAAGCAGAGTCTGTTGTACAATGTCAACTATATCATAAGAATGTTTTTTAATGACTATCAAATAGTAATGATGCCACATGTTCACGAAAAGCTGACCATATCCTTCCCTACCTGTGGCACCACAAACACATTCATAATGCATGTCATTTTGGAATATTTTGCTACATGGTTAACGCTTCTATCATGGTAAATTTGCCTTCTTCTTGGTTGTATTCCTGACCGTGTATCTAGTTCTGGCCAGCTGGTAATTATGGATGGGTTTTGGTGTTGTCCTTCCAAACCTTTCCCCCGTTGTCCTGAAGGTACGTCTTATTATACTGCTCCGAAGTCCATTTACCTCCCGTGATCGGACATTCTGACTGTCATCTATGTTACCACTGCTATTGCAAGTCTTTGATGCCTGCAGTTCTCTCACAACTGATTTCAGATTCTCTAGAGTCTTTTCCTTTTCAAGATGTTGTTGATGAATCTTTTCAAGTTGGGCGTTTCTCTCCTCCAACTTGAATTTGTCATGTCTGACCTGAGACACTTCCTTGGATAGAAGTTGTATCTTACTCCTAGAAGTTTCTCTTTCAGATTCTAGTTTGTCGATATGGATGGAGTATTCATTCAGTTCTCCTTGCAGTTCTGTCAGTCTAGTTTCCTGACTTTGAAGCTTCTCTTGCTGATCCTCAACTTTTTCTATCAACTTCTCTATGTAACTGCACAATGGCAATTTGTCCTCCTCATCCCCATGAAGCCCAGGCAGCTTAGAACATTCAGTGAGTTCTTTCTCAGCTCTATTCAGATTTTCCAAAACCGATCTGATTTCTTTTTGGATGATTTCAAAGGTCATGTCTTCTGGAAGGAGGTTGTTGAATTCTTTAAGTGCCTTGCCCTGGAGGTATGGCTCTAGAATGACATGGATTTCAAACAGTTTTTGCTGAACATCACTAACCTGAGAGACCACAGATTCGGTTTCTGTGTCTGGGAGAGATTCTGCTTTCTCTGCCAGAGACTGAAGTCGAATCCTTTCATCATTCAGCTGTTCATTGAGAAACCTTTCCACTGCCTTTTTATCATTTTGGGAGACCCTCTTACTCTGACCGAACTGCTTGTGGACAAATGTCCCAACTCTTTTCCTTATGTCACAGTCTGGTTTATCTTGATGTTGAGGTGCGTCTGAAATAAAGAAGAATACATTTATTGTCATATGGGTATTATTCTTTTTCAATCTGCAAATAATTAACACACACTGGTCTGGGATTTTTTATCAAGACAATGTTTGCTATTTATACAAATGCAATTAGCTTTACTGAAAAGTAGTGACAGAAGTATTTCTTGATCACATTCATTATTTATAAGGAATATTTGCCTTCACCTGGCAATTCACTTTATCTATAAGTGATCACCTGTTCCCCCATTCCCATGAATATTGATAGTTCTTCTTTGATATTCTCCATAGTGATATAGGTAGTTCTAGGATAGTGAAGAAAGTGATGCGCTGATAATGTTTGCACATGTTCATAAATACCATAATTAGCTATTATTAATAGTTAGCTAAAGAGGCGAAGAACAAATCCATGAAACCAACTAAGGACTGATCTTAAAATAATCGTAAGGAGTTTAGAATTAAAACATTTTGTGCTGTGCTGATTCTTGAAATGTGATCCAACCTTATTTTGTAAAGAGTAGTCTCAATGGCTACAAACTGTTTAAGCTATGCTGTAAAGAGTTGTTTCCCTTGTTCCCTGACTTACCTGTGACGGTGAACAGCCTCTCCAGCTTGCAATGCTGTCCACCTGAACTCGGCTGGTGTTTGCTCTTTGCGGCCAAGTAGCTAGAATCCAGCATGGCGGCTAGCCATGGGTAGCTGTCCTGGATGATGTTGATGAAAGTGTCAAAAGCAGATGGTCCACGTTTAGGAAGCATTTCTAGCATCTTGTACACCCTGTCGCTGTCTGTAGCTTGGCTCTATAGAGAAACACAGATAATAGCTCAATCACATCTCATAGTCCATGACTATGCCTTAAATAATACAAAGATTGAATCAATATTCATTCTTAGTTACTTTTTTCTCGCATGGAACCTTAAGTTGGGACAACTTTGATCACCATATCATGCTTAGATTGATGGCTGATGAACATGGATATTATGACCGTCAAGTCATGCTACGGATTAGTATAATGTCATCAATTCATGATAATGCTTATGAAATTATCTGCTCTGGATGCAAGTGTAATACATAATATACTGTTGGCATAGATCAGTATTTGTGTTAACCACATGTTTTTCAGGTCCAGTGTGTTAGGCAACTGTTATATAATTATGCATTGTTGACTGTGCAAAACAATATTCTCTCAGTCACTTCTGCTTCTTCAGTGTTATGTCTTGGCAGATTTGTTATGTTTAACTTAGGTTCACCTCTGATTTATGGCTTACATTCTGAAAAATACAAGCTTGCATGTTGGAAATAAGATATGTGACACAATATTCTCACCCTGATGATGTCGATCATGTTCCTGTCAAAGATGTGCTGCTGATACAAGTCCCCCAGCAGGTCCTCCGACAACATGAGGTCACTGGCCAGCTGCTTGAAGTGGCGCTGTAAGACTGACCGCTGACACTCATCCATTGTGCTGGCTGGAGAAGAAGCAAGGGCACAGAGTTTAGTTAGATTGTTTTTACAAACACAGACCACCTCCGTGGTCTAGCGGTAGAGCGTCCGCCCGGAGAGCGGAAGGTCAGGGGTTCGATCCCCGGCCGCGTCATACCAAAAGACGTTAAAAGATCGTACTTGTTGTTACCCTGTCTGGCGCACGGCATTAAGGGGCTAAAACAAGGACTGGTCGGTCGGTCGGAGTCAGTATACTGTGTCTGAGTGGGGTATTCATGTTAAACTGCAGCATGGTATCTCAGTGTGCTAGCACTATTAATCGGCATAAGTCCGGACTAGTACAAGCAGCCACACAAACACACACACACGTGCATGCATGTCGCCATATAAGTGCAATAATCTTGGACGCGACGTTAAACCCCATTTCACCTCACCTTTTACAAACAGATTCACACAATAGACTCTGCTTTCAGCAGATATTTCCAATGATTTTTTAGAGGGTTTTGTTGCAGTGTTGTTCAATTAATAACTTTAATCGAGGATTGATTGGATTCAGTTTCCAACCAATTAATTGTTCATGGAATCGATGATGAATAATATTTTAGTAATATCAGTTTATTTAAAAAGTAATATTTAGTAAAAGGGCTGTTGTTGTTTGCTGCTAAAGGTGTTTGTTTTTAAAGAGTATAGTAAATATCATGTAAAAGTTTGAAAATTTATTTCTTGTCATTCCATGAAAGAAAGAATTCTCAAAATTGATGATTTCACTATCCTCATTCATGATTTATCATTGATTGATCAATTACTTTTTCAAAACAATGATCAACTGTTGATGTTTTAACAAAATCCCAACACAATATTTTGAGGTATTATCATACAAATACATTTATAAATTAATCCATTTATTAATATGTAAAGTGTTTTGATATGTTATGAGAATATTAACAAAACTGTCAAAAATGTTTCCAAACATGTATGTAATTTCAATCAAAATTCTTCCTGAACAGATTAGAAGTATGACAATAAACTCCATCTCGTACAGCAACATTACCTTGGTGTCTAGAACACTGTATCCATCTGTATCGTTGCAGATTAATTATCCGTTACTGATGTCTCCACCTTTCAAGGAAATATCACAGACTTTTTCGAATACAAAGAATTTAGTTGTCATTCTCCATGCTCATCAAGAAGCCCCCCAGTTGACATGGTCAATGTTTTGATATCTGTATTGTATCTTCCCACACTGTATACATCGAGTAATCTCATAGCTGACGAAATATGCTAAGTAACACCATTGGTAACAACAGATTACCAATCATATGTTCCCAACTCGCATGACCATGTTGTCTGATTGAGAACGAGGGACTGCATTCAATATCCAGCCTTGAACAACCACATAAGCTTGACTTTGACTTGTGTAGCAGACAATTGTCTAAGAGGGTAACCAGCAAATGATCCAGGTAGACATGTAGTTAGTGTAGTGGCTTGAATGAGGCCTTGTTATGCCTGTTTAAGATTAAGTCATGTATGACAGATTTTGGCCTGATTAATGGAGTCATATACCTCTACCATGTTATAGTCTGTACTAGGGTGTGCAGACACTAGAAGAATGTTAATGAATAAGCAAGGTGTCAGAGTGGAAAACACAAACCATAACTCAATATCTGTCATATTTTTTTTTTTTACAGTGAAATAGGACTGTGGCTCAGATTAATTGGGGAGTCTGGAATACATTATGTCTCCAGTACATATACCTAGAGCTGATACAAATGTGTACTTGTGATTGTGTTTCATTATGCTCTGATAGTGTGAGCCATTGCTCATGCTATCAACCTCTTGTTTCCTGTCCAAGATAGAACTGCTGTATTCGACGTAATAAGCGCCCCACTCTAATAAGCACCCATGGCGATATTTGCTAATATTTTGGCTAGTGAACAATCCCAATTAGCACCCCATCCTATCAATCAATGTACAAAAGACATATTTATGCGCATATAATACGCACTTGTGTGTTATATGCACCCTTAATTGTGGGCAATTAAATTCTGGAAAAATATATTTGTCGTATATAAACATATCAGGCTGTCAGCATAAACCATGAAATTTATCTTTCAACTCTGTTTTTTTTTTCACCAAAATAATTTTCTAATAAGAGCTCCCTATTTCTAATTTTGAGAACGCCCTGGGCGCTTATTACGTTGAATACGGTAGTTAAAGGTTGCTATGATACATAGAGAATCTCACCCAAATGTCTTTTGACATCAAATATATCCAAACGAGTCGATAAATGTTTTGAATAAATGTTTTGCTGAAGAGTTTTGAATTTTTATTGACGAATGACAAAAAAAGATTCCATTTAACATCCAAATCATAATTTGAACTTTTTAAATTTGTAAACAGTAAATACTAGTGTCTTGAGTGTAAAACGTGTCAGAGAGATTAGTGATGTCATTTGATTGTGATGTCATGGTAACCAATGGTCTGCAAAGCACTGTCATGCAATATCATTGTGATCTCACCCAAGCGTTATCTCACAGATCAAAGCTGGTCTTATATCAGTTATGACATTGGCATTTAGTTTCTAGTGTTCACACGACAGAAATGATTGCGTGTGATTGTTTTATCTTTGATAATAATATAATATTTCTAAAGTCTTAATCAGTTTGTCTCTTTATAGATCAGTTACTTCACTGATTTTCACATAGTATCTGCCTTGATGTTTGTTCAGATCAACTTAGTGATGATAACCACAGTGCAGTTTAGCCAATACTAGACTTACTTAAAAAAGTATAACACATAGCTCCGGTAATATGTAATTGCTGGTGCTAGAATGAGGGCATTATTACTTAGTATGATATTATTTTATAACAGTGCCTCTATACCTGTGATCTATAATACCCAACTTGTTACTGGTACTTGACTCTATCGTGTTGGGCCTGGCTTTGTGTTGATGGATATATCTGTAGAGGATTATGTACAGGGGCCTTACCAAGTTGACAACTGGGTTCGATGAAGTGTGAAATATTCTATATTGTGTGTGAAGTAGGGGTAGGTACAAGACACATAACATGTCCTTGAAATTGTCAAACAATCCTCACAATTTGCTAACTGGAACATATGTATTTTATACTCCTTGAGTTAAAAGTGTAAGTCTAATATGAATACGGATTTAGACGTTATTATTTTGTTATTTCTATAGAATGTTGCAGTCTGATTGTTTCTCTTGTAGTTTGAATCTAGATTAGACCACAAGTTTGTGCATCACTGGTGAATAATAAATTATTAGTGTTCAATATCTATTGCCATCATTTCTCAATGAATGTAAAACATAAGTCATGCCCACCAAGATGGAATACTCTCATCACAATGGAATGTCGGGGAATCCCAATGCAAGTTGGACCCATGAAGATCCGGGGTGGAATAGATCTTCAGCAACCCATGCTTGATGCTTGCCGTAAATGGCGACTATGCTTGTCATAAGAGGCGACTAACAGGATCGGGCTTGCTGAATTGGTTGCTCATGATATCAATCACTGGATTGTCTGGTCCAGACTCGATTATTTACAGACTGCCATCATATAGGTGGAATATTGCTGAGTGTGTCGTTAAACAATAAGCAAGCTAACAATGCAAGTTGAGGGATCCCTTGTTGACTTCTTCCTAGACCCACTTGTTTAAACCGACCCTGTTGCTGCAATTATTGTAAATCCATAAGATCGCGATCTTAGGTTTGGGCCACAATTGCCATCCACTTGCACCAAGTGATTGTAGGCTAAGATCATATATATGACAATCAACAATTTACAGTTGGTTGGATTCAGTCTTAAAAAGCAAAGATTATTGTACTGGACTAAATGATGTTCAAGAGTTGATCTGTTTCAAATAAATAATCTGCTTTAAGTTGAAACATTGTCATTTGATTTGTTAAGCCATTCAAATAACACTTCAAAACCTCAAAGCATGCATCACAGAATCCACATAAAATATGTTGTGATAGTGATCCAATGCATGTAACTGTAAAGTTGTTATCCTGAAATTATAATATAGTGTATGCTGAAAGAAGTGGGAAGCAAGTGAGGCGTGCCAGTTTATATGTAATAAATTTAGCACTTACCTGCTTCCAGTAATGCCACAAGCTGCATTCCTTCCCATGAATATTTGTTGATCCCATCGTCTCCGCCTGTTTTGATTTATATGTTTGTCATACTTTTGTCGATAACTTTTGTTTTTGTTGTAAAAATTTAATTAAGTTCGACTGTGTATATATTTTAGGTATGAATTGAAAACCAGAAAACTGTGTGAATCCATGCAGTGGATTTTTACAAAAGACTTACAAGAGCCTTAAATGTAAGCTCACAGTTTTAATTGTGTGGGTTTAACTCTTAATTATCCCATGCCAGGATTATTTTACACACATAAATTAATAGAAAAATAAACAAAAATTTGCATTTTGACATTCTAAATTTCACACTTTCAATGTTGTTTTTGTATCGTTATCATTGTATGATCCTGGCTGTAGATCAAATAAATCTGATCATAAAAGGATCATTGTTTTCATTTGTTTCTTTGCCACATGTAAGATGATTTGTAAACTCAACCTTTATGTGTACAACAATCTCTGAATTTAGTTGCTTTGGTAAATGTTGATTTGGGGGACATGTTTCAGATGTGATTTCAGTGCAGTACAAGGGAGGTAATCCTTGTAGCCATATCAGCACTATCCACAGATCACACTGTGGAGAGACACTGATGTCATAGGGGCCTTGTTTCAAAGGCAGTTACCATGGTCCCCGAGGAAACATTTTGTCCAATGATGACATGATGTTCATATGACTTAGTCATGTCACTCACGTGCATATGCAAGCAGATGTATTATCCCAGCAACCAGAAGATTGATTAGTTTACATGTCTCTTTCATGTTGATTGAATGAAACAAGGTATATGTTCCTATATTGTTCAGTCAGTGTCTGGGGGCACGGGTGGCCCTGTCGTCTAAGGTGCCGCGTAAGGAGTTGCACGCCAGAAACCTTAGTATAATGATTGTGGGTTCGAATCCCTGTTCGCCCCGATTATGTTTCTAGGTTTGTCCGCACCATACCCATGCTCGTGGGTTTCACCGAAGTGATTAACATCTGAAACCTGCACCACTTCGGGCACCACTTTGGGCACCACTTTAAAAGCGGCTTTAAACCCAACTCACTCACTCACTCAGTCACTCATGTACCTATATTGTTCAGTCAGTGTCTCTTTCATGTTGATTGAATAAAACAGGGTATATGTACCTATATTGTTCAGTCAGTGTCTCTTTCATGTTGATTGAATGAAACAGGGTATATGTACCTATATTGTTCAGTCAGTGTCTCTTTCATGTTGATTGAATGAAACAGGGTATATGTACCTATATTGTTCAGTCAGTGTCTCTTTCATGTTGATTGAATGAAACAGGGTATATGTACCTATATTGTTCAATCAGTGTCTCTTTCATGTTGATTGAATGAAACAGGGTATATGTACCTATATTGTTCAATCAGTGTCTCTTTCATGTTGATTGAATAAAACAGGGTATATGTACCTATATTGTTCAATCAGTGTCTCTTTCATGTTGATTGAATAAAACAGGGTATATGTACCTATATTGTTCAATCAGTGTCTCTTTCATGTTGATTGAATGAAACAGGGTATATGTACCTATATTGTTCAATCAGTGTCTCTTTCATGTTGATTGAATAAAACAGGGTATATGTACCTATATTGTTCAATCAGTGTCTCTTTCATGTTGATTGAATAAAACAGGGTATATGTACCTATATTGTTCAATCAGTGTCTCTTTCATGTTGATTGAATAAAACAGGGTATATGTACCTATATTGTTCAATCAGTGTCTCTTTCATGTTGATTGAATGAAACAGGGTATATGTACCTATATTGTTCAATCAGTGTCTCTTTCATGTTGATTGAATAAAACAGGGTATATGTACCTATATTGTTCAATCAGTGTCTCTTTCATGTTGATTGAATAAAACAGGGTATATGTACCTATATTGTTCAATCAGTGTCTCTTTCATGTTGATTGAATAAAACAGGGTATATGTACCTATATTGTTCAATCAGTGTCTCTTTCATGTTGATTGAATGAAACAGGGTATATGTACCTATATTGTGCAGGCAGTGTCTCTTTCATGTTGATTGAATGAAACAGGGTATATGTACCTATATTGTTCAATCACTCTCTCTTTCATGTTGAGGGGAGGTCGGGAAGCCTAGTGGTTAAAGCGTTCGCTCATCATGCCGAGACCCAGGTTGATTCCCGACATGGGTACAATGTGTGAAGCCCATTTCTGGTGTCCCCCGCCGTGATATTGCTGGAATATTGCTAAAAGCGGCGTAAAACCAAAACTCACTCACTCACTCACTCACTCACTCACTCACTCACTCACTCACTCACTCACTCACTCACTCTTTCATGTTGATT